CGGGACTGTGAGCGTGAGCAAAAAAGCCCAAGAGGTAAAAGTTCCCTTTCAACATCGGATTGGTCTCATAACAAATACGTTAAGCTTTCCTCTTTTTGTACTACTGGAAAGGAACATAACACGGGTTTAGGCGGACAAACCATAGCGACTCCGAGAATTGTCTACTTATTTATGAAGGATCGTGGGCGTTCCGGAAGCATTTGATTAAAATTGAGTGTATCACCTAGTTGAAGTAACTGTAACAAAGGGATAAAGATCAGGGTTTTCGGAGCAGGGCAACGATGCCTATTAGTGGGATTAGTGCGACAAAAGACAAGACCGAGCCAGGATCTTTAGATACTGTTCTAATGACTAGCCAGTTTGCCTGAACCACCTACCCTAGGTGGGGTAGTTTGAATAATTAGTGAGGGCTAGCCATAATGGGAAAATATAGCAGTTAAGGGGACTTTACACACGTCGGTATTGTCCCAGACATTAACGTCTGCAGCAAGCTTTCTCAGTCTCGATCACTTAGATCAAGTACTAGCTGCTTATATGATACTCCTGAGCTGAATTAGTGGCTTGGAACACCGTCTCCGGATGCCAACCGTGAGTGCCGCTATTTACTTTGTGCACGATTAAGATGTGTTTACGAAATTCATCCATACAAATCATTACTAGCAAATAATTGAATACAAACGGCAAATTAACTGGTTTCAACGCCCAATACAATAAGGACGCCACGATTATCACCTTGTTGCAGACGCCCGTCGGTATTCATGTTTGAGCGAGTGGAAAACAAAATAATCCGGAATTTCGAAAAATCATTTTAGCATTTTTATCCTGGATACGCAGATCAAAACATCAATGAACGCGACCATGAAGTTAGAACACTCAAATTTCCTGTGTAACACACGATAGAATTAACGGGTAAACAGCTGAAAACCCTTGACATGGATGATTGCATCAGCTATACTATTGCCTACGGCCGTAGAAGATGGAGATTGTAAGAAAAAACGTAGCACATTCAAAAACATTCGGGATGTTGCATCTAAGTTGAACTCTACACCAAAGTCTACGAAAGCAACCTTTGGGGTGTATTATCAATTTCAGACGTCCATGACATACCAAAACGCTATATTTTATTTGCAACTTTCAATGTAGCGTGAAATCAAACGGCCTTCTATCAACTCCTTTGGCGTTTACAGAACGGAAATGTCACTAGAATGGGTAGCTGAGGGCATAGACAAAAAAGAAGGACAGCACACAAATCACATTGGGACCACTTATAATCTCCACACACTACTAAAATGCACTCTATTTAGTCATAGAGACAAGCGTAATCGATCCGAACTGTATTTGGTAACAAAAACGCAAATGGGAAACTAAGGACATGAGAAAGTTATTGGTTACTTGTCCGCAAAAGAACAAGAGGTCTGAGTTACAGTATTGGTATTTACTAAATCCCCGCTCATTTTAAAGAGTTAGACGTGTAACTTAAAGAGTGCCCTTTTGGTTGCACTAGAGGATAAATAAGCACATCTAAATAGTATATATTATACTCTAAATAATTCATTTATAAAGGGATAGAGTAAAATAACATAGTTCATATATCTTGGCAATGAGGAATTAAGTTACATAAACACAGAATACGTCCCATCTAACGTGTAAGAGAGGAATCCATTGGGTCTACCAAATAAAACAAAGCAAGGGAAACGCTCTACGTGATTATTTGGACGAATTGGGGGTTTGGATACGCAAAGAACACGTCACAACATAAGCTAGAAACTAAAAGGGAGAAACAACATATGAGGAAGGGATCAAAATAAAAGAATATAATAACGACATGATAAACATCATACAAATGAAACGATCTGTTGTACGGAATGCTGAGGAAACCCGGACAAACCCGAGAAGCATCAGCTGATTGCGCTCTAAATAAGGCGCGTTAATATGAACAAATTCAAAGCGTTCCAGCTTTGTCAGATGAGTTTAGTTTTTTGATGGAAACCGTCATGGGCCTTTGAGTAGCCTATTTGCAACCCAGAATTTATTGCGATGCAGAGTGAAATCTTATACGCTGCAAAAGTTCAAACGGGACTACAGTATCAAGAGGGAAGTAAAATTTATCGTGGATACGATTCATTTTCGAACACATATATGCCAAGCGTACTCTTAAAGCATTCCAGTGACGATGAAGTCACATTATCTATAAGGAGGAAATTTAATTACTCCAACAGAGAAGTGGACTTGCAGGCATCTAGCCTTTCCTGTT